GAGGAGAGGAGAGGAGAGGAGACAGTAGTCCCAGAGAGCAGGGTCCTTTCACTTCCAGTAGCGCCTGTATTGCTAGTACCCACTTTCCAGCTGCCTTCATTCTCCATCCTCCCGATGTAAGCTCCTGAGTTCTGAGGGCAGCTGGCATCCTTTTAGCAGAGTTGCATCCTTATTACCAACACAAAAGCCACTTGGCATGCCAGGGACACAAGCCAAGCCTACGGTGTTATGTGGCCGTCGCAGGTGAGAGAAACAGGTGAACTGTGTCCCTGGGAGCGTTCAGTCCTCTGAACCTACCACTTGTTTTCTGGAGACCTGGGAATGGAGACATCTCTCTCCTAGAGCATAGACGGCAGCATGGACACGATGAGAATCAGAACACGCACAAGGCTGTCATGGGGCCCCGTGGAGAGGGGCCAGCAGGGAGCAGTGCACGGACCCTGCCTCCGAGTCCTGCCTGCAGCAGGAACCCAGAGCAGTACTTCTTTCAACTGTTCAGAGAGCCTGGTGATGCAGACTTCTACGTGAAATCTCCCTGGCCATCAATGTTGGCTAAAAAGATGTTTTAACCACCTCTGATACACTCAGACGCAATGGCATTGAGCCACGCCCTGAGGTGATGCAACCAGTCCAAGGTCAGGTTCATCTGGTGGCAGAACAAGATCTACCATCAGACTCTGACATGTTCCTTCTCATCTGAACCGTGGCAGCCGGATTAAGAGGATATGAAATCCTGCTTTCCGGGTCTTTGCAACCCCAGGTGTCCCCCAGCGAGTCCCTCACAGGGGTTTGTCCCTTTGATGGACAGCTCTCTTAGCAGGCAGCAGGCCGTGATTAACTCACCCTGTAACTCGGCGGTGGCCAGCTCCTTTTGGGCATAATGCAGAACTTGCCACCACTGAAACCCACGTTTCTGCAGACGAATCTGGTTACCTTCAGTCCCCCGATGAGGCAGTAACCGCAGTCCAATACCTGTGGTACTGGAGCCACAGGGGAAGACGTGTGAGAAGGACAACCTGTCAGCTGGACAGGCCTTGCTGTCACCGGGCTCGGGAGGTGGAGCTCACAGCAGCCATGGAGGGGCCGGGCCCACCCAGCACCCCACGGGGAAGGGATAAATGGGTGCATGCCCTGACCACTGCACTAACTTGGGCTTAGCCAAGACAGCTGGCGGGTCACACAGCAGCAGCACCAAGCGGTATTTAGAGACCCATGCCTCGTCCGGGGTCAGCCAGCACAGTCTAGGGACAGTGGCAGAAGTACAGGAGAAGAGTGCCAATTTCCAGCTTGTGTACAACTGAGAAAGCTTTTCACTGAGGGAACCCAGATACAGCCAGCTTCCCAAAAGAAGCTCGCCCTGACAGCCACAGAGGTCCTCAGAGTGGCCAGGCCCTCCTTCCTAGTCTTAGTGTGGTGTGGGTCCACTCAAGGGAGGATCTCACACCAGCAAAATCTGTTAGGCTCA